TCTCTCTCTCTCTCTCTCTCTCTCTCTCTCTCTCTCTCTCTCAGTAGGGTCCTATGCAGCCCTCACTGGCCTCAAACTGACTAGGTAGTTGAAGATGATCCTTAACTTACCTCTAAGTGCTGGGGTTACAGGTAAGCACCCCCTTCCCAGTTTTATGAAGTGCTGAGGATGGGACCCATGGCTTTGTGCATGTTAGGCAAGCACTCTACCAACTGAGCTGGAACCGTAGCCTCTCACCATTTATCTTAGTTTTTAGGAAAAAAAAATTCTTGTTGGGTAGGGTGGTTCCATGTCTGGAATTCCAGCATTCAGGAGGCTGAGACTGGAGGCCTGGGCAAGATAGTAAGTTACAAGTCAGCCTGGGCTACAGAGTGAGACCCTGTCTCAAAAATGAAAACCCCAAAACAAAAAAGAACTGATCAACTGATCATGGCGGTGCTGGTGCATACCTGTAATCCCAGCATTTGGGAGATGGAGACAGGAATAACCAGAGTTCAAGGCCAGTCTGGTCTACATAGTGAGTTCCAGGCCAGCTGGGGCTATATGAGATCCTAACTCACAAACAAACAAAAACAAGATGGAGAAAAAAGGCGGGGGGGGGGGGCGCTTATTTGTTATTTATTGATTATTATTGGTCTTTTTGAGTCAGGGTCTCCTTGTAGCCCCAGCGGGCCTGGAACTCACTATGTAGACCAGGCTGGCCTTGAACTCACAGAGATCTGCCTGTGAGAAATTTAAAGGACTCATCTTTTGTGCTTTAAAAAAAAAATTATTTTTATTTTATGTGTATGAGTGTATTGCTGCATGTATGTAAGAAGTGCACCCATCTTGTGCAAAGACTGCAGAGGCCAGAAGAGGGCTTCAAATCCCCTAGACCTAGAGTCATGGACAGTTGTTAGCTGCCACGTGGGTGCTGGGAATCAAACTTGGGTCTTCTGGAAGAACGGCCAGTGTTCTTAACTGCTGAGCCATCTCTCCAGCCCCCTTTTATGCTTCTTTAAATAATAACTAAATATGAGCTCTGCCCTGAGGACTCCTGAACTTATCTTCGCCTTTTCTGCTCCCACCCCCACCTCTCTTCTGCTCTAGTAAGACAACATAAAACCAGTCTTCACTCAAAAGAGAGTATTGCTGATGGAATGTGAGAAGCTTATCTCAGGCAGATCTGCAGCTGAATTCCAGGCCTGGGCTGGTTTGGTGCCATCCACCTGAGGAGAGCTGGACTTCCTCCTGATGTCCCTGGCTGGTTTTGTGACCGTGGGAAAGACGGTGTACAACAGAGGAGTGCTGCAGTGGTTATTTGGAGGAGAGAGGGGACTGCCTCCTGGGGACCCCTGGAGGGGCAGTGACAATGATTTTCTGTGTGCCTGGACAGAGAACTTCATGTACCGTAGTCATGATTCTTTTTTTTCTGAGACCAAAATCTCATGTAGATCAGGTTGGCCTTGAACTCACAACCTCCCTGCTTCTCCTTCCCAAGTGCTGTGGTTACAGGCATGTGCCACCACTCCCAGCTTATGTTTCCTGCTTTGCCTCACTCTGTACATTTAACAACATTTTTGTCTGGAAGAATTAATATATATGAAGAGCTAAGGAAAGGACCTTCATGATAGTTATGTGTGTGTTCAGTATTTACTGTATTGTTACTCTAGAACATGATACAGCCCTACCCATGAGAAGAGAGACTCTATATTAGCAAAGGATAAGTCCTAAACCTCTGTATGTGTGTGTATGTGTATGGTATCAATATTATTATTATTTTTTGTTTTGTCTTTTTGAGACAGGGTCTCCCTGTAGCCCCAGCTGTCCTGGAACTCACTATGTAGACCAGGCTGGCCTCGAACTCACAAAAATCCACTTGCCTCTGCCTCCCAAGTGCTGGGATTAAAGGCGTGAGCCACCATACCCAGCAATATTATTAGTTTTAAAAGTATTTTTGTGGGGCTGGAGAGATGGCTCAGCAGTTAAGAGCATTGGCTGCTCCTACAGAGGAGCAGGCCTCTCCGAACCAGTTGGGTTCGGTTCTCAGCACCCACCTGGCGGCCAACAACTGTCTGTAGCTCCAGTTTCAGGGGATCCCACATCCTCTTCTGACCTCTGTGAGCATTGTACAACATGGATGCACTTACATTCATGTAGGCAATACACTCATACACATAAAATAAAAATAAAAATTTTTTAAAAAAGGATTTTTCAGG